AAACCTGACCATTTCTTGGGTAGCGAGGGAGGGCTCAGCAGCTCCTTGCTGTAAGGTGACTCTTCCCAGGGTAATCCTCAGAAGCTCTGGAAATAGAAGTCTCCCCATACCTTGAAACTGTCTCTTCAAGAGTAAAAAGTGTCATTTTAAAAGTTTCTCCCAAAAGTGCTAGAAAATGATTCAATATCTCTTTGATATGGATGGCAAAGAAAAGAAGTGTAGCTGGACTCCTCATTAGATGCCTTGGCTTATTATATTTCCCAACTAGTCCCACAGTAAACATGTTCTGAGGTCAAATAAGTCTGGAAAATTCTGAAAATTTGGGGACTTACACTGCAGGAAAAGTATTTTAAAACACTAGAAAATTCTGCAGTAAAAAAATGTTTAACCTTTGTTTAACACCGCCCCCACACACCCTTTTTACCCCTTTGTAACACAAGTAACATTTCTAAGAGAGTTCTTTGGGAATTGTCCTTTAGAGTTAAGAAATGTTCATGAATATAAATATCTGAACAGAGCTTGCAGCAAGGTTCACAAAAGGTCTGAACCTATTCAGGATGCTTGGATGATGGATTTCCTTCTCATGACCAACTATTGTAAGAGAATCAGTTTCTGCAAATTGCCCTTCATGACAGAAAGTTCACACACATCCTCTCACTGCCCTCCATTCATTATCTGGAGCCTAAAACAGAAAATTTGATGTATTACGATATAAACAGAAAGGTCAATCTTGTCTATCAAGACAAAAGCTTGTTAGAGAAACAGAACTATGCCCCTTTTCTAATGCTCTGAGTCATCTCCTCAGAGTAGATTACTTCCTAACTTCTGGAAAAATAAAGGGACAGGTAACAAAGTCCTTGCCATTTACCCAGACAGGATATAAAGTACCCAATGATAATTTCTGAATGCTGAGAGATTTATTGACTGATGGGGAACTGAAAGGAAACCCTGCCCCACAAACCCCTGAATAGGAGTGTGATTGCCCAAAGGTAGTGTCCTGGGCTCTTTGAGCAATCCACAGGAGACCCTGCCATTGTCTTGTACAGCTCCTATCACAACTGGCATTTGATACTCATTCTATAGAGGTCCATTAGTGAATGTTACCAGTGATTTTGGCTCTCAGTTCTTGAGTTTGGTACAGAAAGAATTCAGAGCCAAGAACACTAGCACAAGAGGAAGTTTATTTAGCATGCAAAGCAAAAGCACACTCACAAATGTTTCAGTTAGCAACTTGAAGATCGTCTTTGCCATGAACTTTGCTAGTTGAAGCACACATTGGGGTACTCCTCTAAGGGCAAGGAGATGCAGACAGCAGGAATAAGTTCAACAGTTACCTATTATTTCTGATATTTCTTTATTCATTGGATTGCTGTGCCATCTCTTTCTTAATTTGAGCCATACACTATATTATGTTTTATTTAAATTGGTTCTCCAAAGACTCCTTTCAAAAAGTTATTCCTACATGTAAGATAAAATCCATCAGTGTCGATTTTTATGGTATTTAGCTTACTGCACATGTAAGTCCTCTACATCATGTTATTTCTCCAGTCACACATCTGTATAATTACTTTGAAAAGCACTTAACTCTATACTTTATCAAAAGATTTCTATTTTCCAAGGTGAACTATGTGGAACATCAAAGTAAGCGTATTAAGTTGGCAACATCTTTTGAAACCTAATGTTATAATTACAAGATTCAGCTGAAAGGTAAATTGCAGTATATACATACAAAAACGTATGTGTGTTTTCATGCCTAGGGAGATTTACATGTGATAATATTTATCAATATAAGGAAAGTCTAAGAAAAGATACCTTAGCATTGGTGTGTGAATATGACACTTTACCTAAATTCATCTTCGCACTTCAGTTTGTTCATGTGTCTCTGCTACAAAAGGAAGTTCAAAGGGTATTGTTTATACTGGCTTGTAATCAAAAGAACTACCAGTAACTAGTTGAGTAACTTCAGGTAAGTCATTTTAACCTTTCTGGTTCTCATTTAAACCAAATGATCTCTTCAAGTCATTTCTAAAGTGAACATTCAGTGATTTGATGAGATCTATCTTTTGGATAAATTCTGGGTAGGGACTACTCTGCATAGTCCCTGTTCCTCTGGGATATGGGCCTTTTGTTCCTCACTTGTAGTCAGAGCCACTTTATCCCTAACCAACTATACCTACTTTAGAGAAATCTCACTGCAAGGACTCAACAGCGATGAGGGAGCTATACTAAAACAACATCCTCCACCTGGCCCAATAAGATAAGCCCAAAGCATGTGTCTTCTCTGGAGGAACCTCCCAGGCCTCCCTAGCTTGACGCCCTGGTCTTATCCCTTTCCTCAGTCTTCTTCTGCATCCACTTATCTGAACTTTCCCTTCCGAATCTACTTCCACCTCTAGATTGACATCCAAGCTGATATTTTCCAATGCACACAGAGAAGGGTTCATGAAAGACAGTCAGCAAAAAACTTGAGATTCATTTCAACTTGAAGAAAAATTATGGTTCTTTATGCTCCCTACAACATAAAACACAGCTTTTCTCTAAAATCTCAACCATTATTTATAATCCTGATTTTCTATTAACAATCACATCTTTCCTGGAAACACATTTCTTTCTCTGTTCTCTCATGTCAAATATACATTATGGCTCAGAGGGGCGTGGCTCAGCAGTAAGGGGCGTGATCCCCAGTAAGGGGCGTACAATCAATGATTCTCTCTCATCATTCATGTTTCTATCTCTCTCTTCCTTTCCCTTCCTCTCTGAAATCAAATATATATATATAGCATGTTCCATAGTGCAATGATCTGACTATGGGCTGACTTCTCTGGAAACTGCCAGAATTTCTCTTTTTACCTTACTTTTATTTCTAACAGCAGTTGTAGATTGGCACAGAGCCAAAATGGGAGTTGAAATGTGCATTGCATCATTTGTCATGTTAGCTACAAAGGAAGCAGCAGAGGTACCAGAAATGAAAACGAGGAAATTTCTGATAAACAACTCTGATGGTTATCTAGAAGGTGAATTGAATCATAGATATCAGAGTTTGACACTGCATTTTGAATTGCACAATTAGAGATAACTGCCTCCCACCTAGATAATAGTATCAATTTAATTCAAAATGTGAGTGTGGTTTTATAGTCATTCCATTCTGTGGTAGTGCCAGAGAGCATTTACTTATCAGGTTCCCATGGAGCACATTTGAATTTGGAAAAAGAAATGATTAATTAAAAAACAACAACCTGGGTGCCCTTGATATGGATACTATCATAGTATGTGGAAGTAAAATGAATGAATTTACCTTTTAACAGGCTCAGTAAGCATCAGTGCAAACGTGCCCTGTTATCAAGCAGTTTAAACCTTTTCCAATATAGAATAGGAAGTTAATCAATGCTTTTCTCATTGGGTTTGCAACTAGATAAAGATTGTTTAACTCAGGCACCTCTCACTTGTCCTTTCTCTAATTTGGTAATTTAAAAAGTCCACAATTACTGAGAGAAGAGACAATGAAGAAGTAAGCTTCTGGAAGAACTTAAAATCTCTGCTGCACCCCAGACTATCCCTGGTTTGTGCCCCTTCATCATGGGAGTAGCTCTTGCCATCATTTAAAAAGCTTGACCTGCATTTTAGGAGACTTACTGGTATTATTGGTTTTGCCTCTGCAGACTCATAATTCCATTACCTGTTATTGGGAGGAAAAAGCAAATAGAGGCTTAAAAGCTGAGTGCCTCTACACTACCATCTCCTTGTTCTTCATTCTTATCCAGGCAGGAAGGCCATGGGACACTTTGTCTCTTAGCAAAGGAATATTTTCAGATATCAAGGTATTGCACAAGACAACGGGTCAGAGAAGTTAGGAGGGCAAGGGAAGAAGAGGATCAGGAACCACCCCCTATAAGTGGTTGCTGCTTTCCCTGCAGGACTGTGCATTGATAGACTTCCCTTTCCTCCAACTCTCCCTTCCTTTCCCCTCCCATTCGCTGTCTTTTTTACTGATCCTTAAATTGGCCTTTCCTAGTAAAAGGTCAATATGTTTTCACACTTGACAAATTTCATTCAAGAATTTTTGTCAATGGACAAGTCATAAGAAGCTCTTCCATTTTAGGACTGGTTGACGTCACCAAGGAGGCGATAAATATCTGTTGATATAATTGGATGTGAGATTCAGTGTTGAGAGAGCAAAAATTCTGCCCCTGGTTTCCTGGCAGGGCCCAATGATTTATGCAGGAGCAGAGGCAGCACGCAATCGAGCTGTCAAGAGAGCGTCAGCTTATTAGGCAAATGCTGCGTGATTTCTGAAGAGGATTGACGCTATAAAATCCCACTCCAGGCTCCGGTGTGGAGAAACTCAGAGCCCAAGTCCGTTGAGAGGCTGAAGAAAAAGAGAAGAGGGAAGAGGGAAGAAAAAACCCACAGTGGAAACAGAAAGGAGAAAGGAAGAAAACCCCTGAAAAAGCCGGGAGACATTAATCTGCAGCAGCGCCTCAGCTAGGAGGGAGCCTAGACGGAAACGCGGCTCCAACTTTGCACTGCCTGAGCTGCAACGGAGCTCACTGCGGCGCCCTGGCCCTGTCCTTCCAGTGGTGTGTGTGTGTGTGTGTGTGTGTGTGTGTGTGTGTGTTTGCTGACTGTGCCTCAAGATCCCGATAGTAGCTGGGATGTGGCAAAAGCAAACTTAGACGGCTACTCATCGTTACCCGAACTTCCAGTTATTCCTTTCTGGCTGTGTAGATGAGCACCCAATTGATCCCGATCCTCGGAAGAAGGGCGCTGGAGCAGGGATGGATGAGGAGGAGGACGAGACGCAGCTTTTCATTTGGAGGAAAAGGCTGAAACATCCGAAAGGGAGTGGGAGTTAAGAGCAGTTGAGGTCTTAAATTTGTAGATCCTCTCTAGGGCTCGGGAAATCAGTTCTAGAGATCGTTAGGAAGGGGATTCGGGGACTGTCCCTTTGGGGGTTTCCGAAGGAGAGGGGTCATTCCAGCCTGGCGAGGGGGCTGAGCTTTGGTGCCTAGTCCTGCAGGCGTCCGCTTTCCTGCTCCCCGTTTCACTCCAGCTCTGTAAGTCCTACCTCGGGAGCTTCAGCACCACGGACAGCGCCCGCCCCGAGCCCCCAGCCAAGTCTGTGTCCTGTGGGAAGACG